ATAATAATCGAATTGTACATTGCAAGGGTCGAAACACATAATGAACAATTGAATGAAATCACATTGGAGAAACCATATCTTACGGTCACACCAACAAAATTGTCTCTTCCAAACCACAAGAAATTTACGCAGATACAAAATATAGAAGGTCGGCTACCAGGGGTAATTTTTTTGACTTCACAGTGAAAATAATGTATATTTCTTCTATTGTATATAGATGTAGTTTGTTACTTCTTTATGTTCAAATTGACTGTTTAAACAACGTAAATACTTTTGGATAAAAGCTAAAGCAACAATTAAAGCAACGAGGCAAACTTTCTGGTATATATCTTGTAGCAATTGCAACAAGGTCAACCATGCGGATTTTGGTGAGACTTTCCCATGTATTTACTGCAAATATCCTACTGTAAAAGCTATCCCTAGGTAACACTCCTTTCCAATAGATAACACTTATAAGGATGTAATGTCATCTTTTATTTCAATCTTTCTTCTTAATGATAATGATAATTAACTCAATCTCCATTATCATAGGGCAAAAGCCAATTTACGATTAGAAGATACCAGTGGAATAATAAGTGCAAGTGCGATTGGAAACCCTACTGAGACACTATTGAAGCATAGTGTCGAGAGTTTGATGAAGCATTGTAAATTAGTTAGTGCATATATCATGCCCTAACCCCTTCACCTTTAATCACTCATACATAGAAATAGTAATTGTGCACCCTCAATTTCAACAAGGAAATGATCCAAACAGTAATGAATTTGTTCAAATGGATCTTGAAGAAGAACACATTTCTTTTTATGTCAAGGTCACACTATTGAATACAAGTATGAAATTATATTTGTCCACAATGCATTCCCTACTATTACTAATAAAGCAGAACAACCAAGTGAGAAAGACAAAGGTTTTCTGTGTTTTGCTGAGGTAAAGAAGAGTTGTGACAAAAACGAAATGTCACCACCATCTGCAAAACGAACATTGTTCCAAGCTTCGAGTGAGCCAGTACTTTCCAATATAAAGGTTGAGGAAAAACTTGCTACCTCTAACTCCGAAGATGATCAAGTGACAGCGAAAGGAAAACTCGACTAATTATCGTCATACTTATTTGAAGACAACATCAATGCTACAACCTAAAAGTTGGATTTGCTCATTTTGCCATCTCCATCTAAATGATTCCGCTACAACCACCTTTGAACAACTTTGTTTTATTTAGTAGCATTGATCACAAAAACTTCACGATGCTTTTTGCTTGTAACTTTGTTTTATTTTGAAGCAATACTTTTGTATGAAAACTCTTCCATGAAGTTTGAGCTTAGTAAGAATGTGCAAGCTTCACGATACTTTAAATTGTAACTTAACTATGATTGTGTATGAAGTACAGATTTTGAAATGCATAAATCATCATATGTTTGCTTCTTAGATTTTTATTTATTTATTTATTTTTTTTGATTTTTTTTTTTTTTTTTTGGTAATTTGTTTTAGCCTATTAATTAAGATTTCTTTGTGAAGCATTAACATAATTTTCTAGATATTAATTCCTCCATTTATTGTCCTTATGAATAATAATCTCTTTCTTATCATATAAACAATTTTTGTATCTATTGATTCCATTAAAATTGATCAGATTATTGCATAAAAAACTTGTCTTTCACTTTTCAATTATCAATATTACTCAATAAGGTTTGATTAGTGACGTCTTAAAAATTACCAACACTTTTTGAAGATGAGATTGCAATGAAGTCCAACAATGGGAAACGATGGTCGTAATTTACTCTAAATTAAGGAGGTTTTGCTTTGCATCTTGTGTTCTTCATAATGTACTAATTTAGTACATCATCGAGAAAGAAGGGCATTTCATTATCATTTAGAATAAGTTGTCGTTCAAATACAAAATTTGTCACGGAGAATCCCATTCATTAGTATGATGAAGTAATGGTTAAAGAAAAGTTACTTGAAGTTATTGAAGCTCCTCCTCACTCGAGTCTCTTTTAAAAAAAAAAAAAAAAATTGACAATTTAGTGCTAATAGTTATTTTAAAAATATTATTAGCTGTTGAATAATTAAGTTTGATATTTTTAGTTGGTGTATTTAAAATAGTACTTTAAATTTTAATATGACCTAATTATAATAAAAATTGAAGAATTTTTTATTACATAAAAAATATCACACTGTTGTATTCGACCATTTAACATTTTTACTTTGCTTAATGACCAATCGTTATAAAGGGAAAATGTTAGAGCCTGTTTGTTATGGATAAAATTTTGATTTTAATCTAAATTAAAGTTACACAATCAATATTAACCACATCTTTTGTGGGTTTCATAACTTTTCAACAACACATTTCAAAAACTTCTATTACAATCTACAAAAAAAAAAAATAATAATAATAAATAAATTTAACCCTCCACCAAACACTCTCTTAATATATCACGTAACTTTATGGGGCAATATGAAAATATACAAAAATACAGGGGTATAAAACTGAAAGATGGACAAATTGAATTCCTTCTTTTCCTCTTGTACTTCCGTAGCTCTCTGTATATATGCAAACAGAAAACCTGACTCTATCTCTATATACGTATCTTCGTCTCTTTATCTAACGCAGAAGTACTTTCTCTCTCTACGCGGCGCCCGAAGAGTACACCGCTGTCCTCTATCTACTCCATTAAAGGTACGCTTCTGATTCTTCTTCATCCACGCATCTTTGTTTCTTACTTGATCCCCTGTTTTCTCCATTCATCCAACAACAAACCCTAATTAGACTGATAACACTCTTTTTCCCTCCCTATTATTCAATTTTTAGTTCTAATAATATGTTTTGGTTAAATTGATTTATTTTTCTGAAGTGTATTATTATTATTATGAGAATCCTGTATTTGATTATAATTAAGTTTTTTTGCAAAATATATTTACAGTAAGATCTCCTGGGGCGAGTGCTGATTATTTTTTTATTGTGGAGGAGAGAGGGAAAAAATTTGGCTTAGGGTTTTGATGCGCTGGTGTGGGTTGAGATTCGTAAGGTCAGTTCAGGTTACGGGTCCGGTTTGGGGATGGCCAACTCTGGTGCCAAGTTTGTGTCTGCGAATCTGAACAAGTCTTATGGGCAGCAGCACCAGCCTTCTCATTATACTCATCATTCAGCTTTTAGTGGCAGCAGTAGTTCTTATGGGCAGGGTGGCACTGGGGCTCGGGGGCGCCCTGGGAGTGGTGGTACGGGAATGGTATTGTTGTCAAGGAATAGGGGCACACAGAAGGCTGGTCCAAAACTCTCTGTTCCACCCCCCTTGAATTTACCCTCCTTGAGAAAAGAACACGAAAGATTTGACTTGTCAGGGCCAGGCGGAGGGCTGGGTGGTGGCATCGGTCCTGGAAATGGGCCAAGGCCCACTTCGTCAGGTTTGGGCTGGACCAAGCCAGTCGCAGCTACTGCTTCATCAGAGAAGAATGAGAGCAGTGCTGATGTTCATGGAGCTGATGGAATGAATGCTACTGATGGATTAAGTCGTGGCAGTGGTTCTTATTTGCCAATATCAGCTCAATCTGATGAGTTTCGAGTTGTGCGTTCCGGTTATCCTGGGGCATTCCCGCCTTCAGCAGAGAAAATCACAGTCTTGAGAGGTGAGGATTTCCCTTCTTTGCAGGCTGCAAGGCCTGTTTCATCAGGCACATCACAGAAACAGAAGGATGCTTTGAACCAAAGACAGAAGCAGGCAGTGAGTGAGGAAACATCTGAGGACAAGAGGGACAGTTACCATTCAAGTCTGCTAGCTGATATTCGGCAACAGGGGCAGTCTTCACGCAGTACTGTTGTAAATAGTTCGTTGGAGAATGGTGGAGAAGGTCATAGGATGGGCAGTTTGCGAATGGCAGATCACGCTCGGAAGCAGGATGATTACTTTCCTGGTCCACTGCCACTGGTTCAGTTTAATCCAAGATCTGATTGGGCTGATGATGAGCGTGACACTGGCCATGAGTTTGCAGAACGGGGAAGAGAAGTTGGGGGTTCAAAAGTTGAACATTATTGGGATAGGGATTTTGACTTGCCCAGGCCCAGTGTTTTAATGCAGAAGCCAGTTCGTAATCAAAATCATTGGAGTCAACGAGACAATAAAGCTGGAAATGTACTTTCCAGTGAAGTCTTTAAACCGGACCTGTATAACAGAGATTTGAGAACAACTAGTAGGGAAGGCAGGGAAGTCAACAAGTGGAGAACCTCACCACTTCCTAAAAATGGATTAAATTCTCAAGAGGTTGGAAATGACCGATATGTTGGTGGTGCAAGGACTGATGGACTTAACAATGATGTGAAGGACAATAAGTGCATTACACCACATTTTGGTGACACTGGTAGAGATGGTAGTGTGATGGTTAATCGTGATTCTTCATTTGGAAGGAAGGATGTGGTACATGTTCCAGAAGTGAGGCAGCAATCTAACAATTCAATGGAATTAATTAATAATCGAGGGGCTGAGCGTAATAATCGAGATCGTTATGGTGCCGAACAATCCAACAGATATAGGGGTGATAATTTTCGGAATAATGCATTAGCTAAATCTCCGTTTGCTTCTAGTGGGAAAGTTCCTCCTGTGATTGATGTCAAACTAACTTTGGGCAGGGAGAAACATGCTTTTTCCAAAGGAGATAGACTGTTTACAGAGGATCCCTTCTCCAACGACTTCGGTACTACAGGTTTCGATGAAAGGGAGCTCTTTTCCAGGGATCTTGTTGGTGCAATTAAGAGGAAGAAGGATGTTGCTAAGCCGACTGATTTTCACGATCCTGTTAGGGAATCTTTTGAGGCAGAACTTGAAAGAGTTCAGAAGATGCAAGAACTTGAGAGGCAGAGGATTATTGAAGAACAAGAAAGAGCTTTGGAACAAGCTCGAAGAGAAGAAGAGGAGAGACTGAGAAGAATCAGGGAAGAGGAAGAAAGGCAGCGAAGGTTAGAGAAGGAAGCTCGTGAAGCTGCTTGGAGAGAAGAACAGGAGAGACTGGAGGCTATACGAAAAGCCGAAGAGCAAAGACTTGCCAGGGAAGAGGAGAAGAAGAGAACTCTTATGGAGGAAGAGAGGAGGAAGCAAGCTGCCAAAGAAAAGCTTTTGGAGTTGGAGGCTAGAATGGCCAAGAGACAGAGTGAAACTTCAAATGTTGACACTTCTACGTCTAATGTGATTGTGGATGATAAAGTGGATGCTGGGGTGAAGGAAAAAGATAGCTCTAGGACTGTTGATTTGGACAACTGGGAAGACAGTGATAGAATGGGGGATAAGACGATGACAACAGAATTGTTTGATTCATCTGCTTACGACAGACCTGATATCAGTTCTACGCCTTACCCTCCTGAAGAAGTTGCTTCAAGCTTTTCTGACAGAGGAAAAAGTGTCAATTCATGGAAAATGGATATGTTTGAAAATGTGAGTACCTTGCCCTTCCCAGCACAGGACCAGGAGATTGGTCGTAACAGTCCAAGAAGAGATACATTTGGTGGTGGCAGGACAGTACCTAGGAAAGATTTCCATGGTGGATCTGGATACATGAATTCTAGGGCTCATTCCAAAGCAGGCAGTCAAGACCCTTTCTTTGATGACTTTGGACATCAGAAGGACCATAGGTGGAACTTGCCAGGGGATGTTGACTTGTACAGCAAAAACAGGGAAATCAATTCCAATTTTCATGACAATCTTGCAGATAAATATGGTGATAATGGATTGGGACAGGGCCATTCTCGTAGTAGTACTCGCTCACCTTACCCAGAGCAACTGTATATGAATTCTGAGGCAGATGAGCTTTATCCATATGGGAGGTCACGTCATTCCATGAAGCAGCCTCGCGTCCTCCCCCCTCCACTTGCTTCCTCTCAAAGAACTTTTAGGGGTGTGAATGAGCATCCTGGTCCATCTGCTGTCCTAGATAATGGCATCCATTATGCTTACAGAGCAAGAAGTGAATCCACTAGGCAGACAGGTTATTATGGGGGTAACCAGGAAGCCCTTGAAGCATCCAGCCTTGTCGAACTGCGGCAAGAAAACACCCCTAATGAAGACCAGAAATTGAAGGACATTTCATCAAGATGTGACTCACAATCTTCACTATCTGTTTCAAGTCCCCCCAACTCTCCGCCTCATCTCTCCAATGATGAATTGGATGAATCTGGAGATTCTCCTGTGATATCCATAGGAGCAGAAGGAAAAAAGAATCAGCTATCTGCAATTGATTCTGTTATCTTGAATGATCGTTCTGGAAATGATACCATGCTAATAGCACCAAGTTCTACTTCTGCTGGTGAGGATGAGGAGTGGAGTCCTGAAAATGATGATGAATTGCAGCAGCAAGAGGAATATGATGAGGATGAAGATGGTTATCAGGATGAGGATGAAGTGCGTGGAGGATATGACAGGAATCTTGATCTGGATCCAAAAATTGAAGATTTGCATCTCGAGGAAAGGGATTCTTCTCATATTTTGGACAATGTTGTCTTAGGCTTTGATGATGGCGTTGAAGTTGTAATACCAAGTGACGATTTTGCAAGAAATTCAGGGACCAAAGAAAGAACATTTGGAATTTCTGGCAATCATGTTCATATTGTGGAGGAACAAGGAGCTATCGATAGGGTTCCAGATGATGAACAAAGCTTTCTTCCTGCAGATGATTCCTTTGGGACAAGCAAAGATAGCTTCTCTCGGAAGGTCCAGGAAACTGATAAGGTGTTGCCAGCGGCTACCGTTCAACCTATCAATGCTCCTTATGCCTTGGACACATCAGATTTTTTGTATGTCGATGCCTCAGTTAACTCCGGTTTACCTGCTCAACAACCCATCTCAGCTTCAGGTGATGTTACATCTGCTGCTGGTGAGATCAATTTGTCATCTGTGGCGTCTGCTGGGACTCAGGCTGAAGTACCTGTTAAGCTTCAATTTGGGCTGTTCTCTGGTCCATCTCTTATACCATCTCCAATCCCTGCTATTCAGATTGGTTCAATACAAATGCCCCTCCACATTCATCCTCCTGTTGGTCCATCTCTTACACATTTGCATCCTTCACAACCTCCTATCTTCCAATTCGGTCAGCTGCGTTATGCATCTCCTATCTCCCAGGGAATTTTGCCCATGCCCCACCAATCAATGTCCTTTGTCCAGCCCAACATGCAGGCCCATTATAATCTGAAACAGAATGTTGGAGGCTCTGTGCCTAACCAACCTGCTGAAGATGCTCCACGACATGCAGTAAAAGTTGAGGTGACCTCTCTCGGGGTAAATAAGCAGTCTAGTTTGGTGTCTGGACAGCCAGAGCAATCTCGTGGGAACCTTCCCGGGGAATTAGGTTCGGTTTTGGCAGAAGACAGTTCAGAAGGTGACTTTCTTTCTCATTCAATTAGTTCTGTGGTTTCTGGTGCCTGTGATGATAAGATCAAGTTAGAATCTGTTTCTCCATCAGTAGAGAAAGGACGACGTGATTCTGTTTCGAACAATTACTTGTCATCATCAAAGGAGAATGGGTCTGTAAGTCAGTTGCAGCATGTAAAACCATCATCGAAGTATGTTTCTGGTGAGAAAATTTTTAGTAGAACAAGACATCAAGGCATAGGAGGTAGCAGAGGGAGACGGTATGCCTATGCAGTAAAAAATTCCAATGCCAGATCTTCTTTTCTGGCTCCTGATACTAATACAGATTCAAGTGGGTTTCAGAGGAAACCTCGACGAACTGTTCAGCAAACTGAAATTCGAGCGCGAGAGAATGAATTGAACCAAGAACCTGTAGCTACTGTTAATAACAGAGGCTCAGTTGATCAGTCAAATTACAAATCAAGAGCTGTGGGAATTATTGCGAGAGGTGGTTCTAAGAGAGGTACAATCTCTAATAGACCATCGAATCAGAGAGTTGAACCAGAGAGCTCAGTGTCTGGAAATACTAGTTCTCAGGAGTTGAATTCCAGTTACAGAATAGGAAAGGAAAGTGTAAAAGATATGTCAATGAAGAAGCAGAGTAATCCTCCCCCTGGGAAGTCAAATTTCAAGAGAAATGCTTCTGAGGAGGACGTTGATGCTCCCTTGCAAAGTGGTGTTGTTCGTGTTTATACACAACCTGGCATAGAAGCTCCCAGTGATGAAGATGACTTTATTGAGGTGAGATCCAAAAGGCAAATGTTGATCGATCGACGTGAGCAGAGGGAAAGAGAAATCAAAGCAAAATCAAGGGTCACAAAGGTATTGATGCTTTAGAAAATTATTGTTCTCTTTCATATATTTTCTCATTTGGCAAATTTCTGATATTTGCAATTCCTTAATTACATTTTCTCTCTCATCTCAGCTACTGCCTAAATCTCGTGCTCCTAGACAAAGTGTAGTGGTCTCAACAAGTCCTAATAAGCTTTCTACACCACTGGCTAGACAATCATCAACCAACTCTCCCTTGGATTTTGTTGCTTCAGAGGGAAAAAGCTTGAGTGACAACGAAGTAGCTGCAGGAACCACTGAAGTTTCCCAACCACTGGCTCCAATTGGCACTCCTGCTCTGAATGCCGAAACTCTGTCTGAGACACCATCTCATGCTATCACGTACCTGTCATTCAATAGAAAGTTTGCTTGTGACACTTATTAGAAGTATTCTTAATGTGTATGCTTCTATATTTTTGCAGATCTGTCCAGACAGAATTGGTTTCTGTTGTTTCTAATAAAAGTGGAAATGACCTGGAGACTGCGAAAATGTTTGAGAACAAAAATAAGGTTTTGGATAATTTCCAGTTGGCTGCGAGTACTTGGAGCACTGCAGGACTTAATCGACAGGTATGCTTAACAATTATTCTGTTTAATATGGGTTAATTGTAGCTGGTGATTATTAGCTTATGGGAGAATGCTTCCAATTACTCACATTTACTTTCAACTTCTAGTAGATACTTAGAAGATGCAAAAAATATCTATCATTAGAGCTATTAATAAATATTTTCTATAATGGGAATTTTATCTGTGACTTCCAACTATTTTCGCAGTTCGATTTCAATAATTCTGTTCACAATCTTCATGATATAGAAGAGTACACTTCTTTATTTCATTCACAATATCTTGGTCATTGACTCGAGATGGAAGAACAATAGGGGGGATCATTACTACAGCATATCTTAGCTCTTAAATGAAAAAAAAATATATGCGTAACCCAAACTATGTCTTTAAAAGGTTTTTAATATCTTTTTGAACTAAAATTATGTTGAATTTAGTACTTTTCTCTCAGATGTCCTGATTTTATCAAATCATAATCATTATATGCCATTTCCATTGGAATCTTATATATGAATATTATCACTTCCATTATTTCATCTTCTATCCAATCTCATTTCCAAGTAATTCTTCATTCATTAGCATTTTATATAGTACCATTTTCCCTGAAAGACGTGATTTTATATATTAGCACCAGAAAGAATTTTTAACAAACTGATATTAGTTGTTGGATTTCATATTTGTTAATTTCTCAATCATGGAAGAGTTTGTTCCTAGGAAAATTTAGTGATTCTTAAGAGTAATGAATAGCAGTGCTAAGAGGTCTGCTCTATTAGTTTCGTTCTATGAGACGTTCCGTGTGATTAGCTCCTGAATATGTGGTTGTCAATCCTCACTCACATACAACCTGATACCTTAGTCTCCCAGATGTTCTGTGTCTTGCGAGACTAATCCATGTTGATTTTATTTATTCTACTTGAGCTCCTTTTTCGGCATTACAATCCCAGTTTCTTTTACGAACCTCAACCCACTTCCATATTAAATGAGATCCATATTTCCTTTGTCTCTTGTCACCACTGAAAAATTCTTGAAACCAATTGGACTATTTCTGTGCATTGTAAATGCTTCTGCTGATGAATTTTATATCTGGCAGGTTATGGCCTTGACCCAGACTCAACTTGAGGAGGCTATGAAGCCTGCTCGATATGATTCAGAGATTTCTGTTGAATGCCATTCCAGCACTGTTAGTGATTCTGTCTTGCCTTCATCATCCGTGTTAACAAAGGATAAGTCTCTTTCTTCCGGTGCAAGTCCAATCAATTCCCTGCTTGCTGGAGAGAAAATTCAATTCGGTACTATTCATTATACTGTAATTAAGTTGCTACTCTGATTTCTATTGATAAATTTCTGACTCTTTTATTTATCTAACAGGTGCTGTTACCTCTCCAACAGTCCTTCCTCCAAGTGGTCGTGTTGTTTCACATGGGATTGGGGCTCCGGGGTCCAATCGACCTGACATACAAATGTCCCGCAATCTTTCTGCTGCTGAGAAAGATAATTCTCTTTTCTATGAAAAGGAGAAACACCCCAGTGACTCTTGTGTTACTCTACAAGATAGTGAGGCAGAAGCTGAAGCAGCTGCTTCTGCAATCGCTGTTGCAGCCATCAGTAGTGATGAGATTGTTGCCCATGGGTTAGGTTCTGTTGGTTTCTCAGATGCCAAAAACTTCAGAGGCTCTGACATTGGTGGAATTATAGCAGGTAGGTTTGAAGTTTCTTCCCCTATTTTGACCCAGCAGCCTTTACCTTTTCATTGGCAAGTTCATTTGACTGTTTGAATTTATTGCAGCCGTATCAGAAGATCAGCAATTGGTAAATCATTCACGATGTGAAGAATCATTAAGCGTATCTCTTCCTGCTGATCTTTCTGTTGAGACAACTCCTATCTCCTTATGGCCACCGATGTCAAGTTCACCGAGTTCTACGCCTCAGATGCTTTCTCGATTTCCTGCAGGTCCACCTTCGCACTTCCCCTTCTATGAAATGAATCCGATGTTGGGGGGTCCAATCTTTGCATTTGGTCCATGCGAAAATTCTTCTGGCACACAATCACAACCTCAGAATAGTACAGCATCAAGTTCGGGACCTCCTGGTACCTGGCAACAATGTCATTCTAGCCTGGACTCAATTTATGGTCCGCCAGCTGGATATACTGGTCCTTTCATTAGTCCTCCTGGTGGTATTCCTGGATTGCAGGGGCCTCCACATATGGTTGTCTATAACCATTTTGCTCCAGTGGGACAATACGGACAGGTTGGTTTGAGTTTTATGGGTACCACTTATATCCCTTCCAGTAAGCAATCTGATTGGAAACAAAATCCAACATCTTCAGCCATGCATGTTGGTGAGGGAGAGATGAGTGGTATGAATACTACGTCCACACAACGAAATGCTTCCAACATGGCTGCTCCTGTTCAGCATCTTGCCCCTGGATCACCTCTCTTGCCCATTGCCTCCCCTTTGCCTATGTTTGATGCATCTCCATTCCAGGTAAAATATTTTTTGCCTTGTGTAGATCATATAATGCTATTGAAGTTGGTTATGGTATTGCAAGTCTCTTGTCATTCTCTTTCTTCACTTCCTGTCTTATTCTGTTTACATTCTTGATTAGTTTTAACAATAAATTAAGCCTTATTCCCGATAAATTTGGAGTCTTCTGCATGAATCACATTTTTCACTGCATTGATCTATAGTTACACTTACTGGAATATCCAACGTGATATAGTTCTTGCAAATTTATATGCTAATTGTACTCTAATCACTCCTTTTACATATTCTACTTTAATTGTCTCTCTCTTATGAATGATATTTTCTTTAGGTTTATGAAAGAGATGTTCCAACCACCCAATTAATTTGGCCTCAATGTGTCATTTCTACTTGTGGGCATGTAATCTGATTTTATATTTAATCTATTTTAATATGATCACATGTTAATCTTAATCTTAATATTCTCATCACCACTGCTCTACATTCTGGTCCTTTCAACTGCCCAATGCTCGTTACCGTGCATAATTGGTTCTAATATTGCTGTTGACCTTACATGGATGTTTCTGTGATGAGAATATCGATATATTATCTACAATCTATAAAACCTGCTCTAGCCTATGCGCTACATTCTCCTAATGTCTGTCCATCATTATTAATCAAACCTAAATAACCTAACACGGTCACCCTTTGAGACAAATATGCTTTATACCTTGTGCCTCCAATATCATCAAGATGACCAAAAATCAAATTGTGTATATGATGACTTGATTGCTTGTGACAAAAAAATCGGAACTTTCAATTCTTAGGTGGAAAATTCTGATTTACCAGAAGCTATGGTTCATTTCGCGTTTGCTTTTATCAGCTATTGTAGAATGACTTAGTAGATAAGGAGAATACTGCAGGATTTGTTGATTTTTGTTATTGGCTTCGAGCAGCTCTTATCCAGTATCTTTAAAAAAAATGCAATATCTGATTATTTGGAACTGTCTTAAACTTCTTTTCAGTCTGCGCCGGACCTATCTTTCCAAGTTCGCTGGCCACATCTTCCTGCATCACCCCTTCACTCTCTTCCTCTCTCACTACCATTGCAGCAACAAGCAGACGTTGTACTGCCTTCTCAAGTCGGCCGGGGACATTCCATTGACCAACCATTAAATTTCAATAGGTTCTCTGAGTCTCGAATTTCAACACCATTGGAGAATGACCCATCTTTTTCTGTGGCAGCAGATACTGCTATTGCTAAGTTTCCTGCTGAGCTAGGATTAGTTGGTACATTGAGATCCATCAATTCAGGCACATCTGCCCAGATTGGCATTGATCAAAGTTCTTCTGGAAGTTCTACTGCCGAGTCTGGCAAGACTAATATTCTTAAGAATGGCATTGACAAAAATGGTAAGCACCAGAGCACTAATTATCTGAAGGCTCAGCCGTTTCCTCAGAAGAATTCATCCACCCGGCAGAGTAATTCTTCTGGCTATATTTATCAAAGAGGTGGTGGGATGTCCCAAAGAAACAATGCAGGGAATGAGTGTTCCTATCGAAGAATGGGTTTCCAGGGAAGGAACCAGTCTTCTGGTGCAGAGAAGTTTGGTCTCGGTTCAAAAATGAAACAAATATATGTGGCTAAGCAAACGAAAAGTGGGAGTTCTAACGCAGCAGTATGAGCAAACATTAGGGTTTATGGTGAATAATGGAGAGATTAAACTGATAACATCTAGCTTTCAGATCTTCAATTGCACGGCTTCACAAGATGTTAGTTTTGTAATTTTCATTGTGTTAAACGGCTTTCGGTGGATTGCAGAACCTGCTGGTGATAGTTATTTCTAAATCTGGCAGTCTCCAAGTCTCCCTCTGGGTATTTGCACGGTAAAGAGTTCTGTATACTCCATCTTTTCTTGGCTGCAACCCAGAATAGATTTTGTCTTTCCTATTACAACTTAGCTTGATGTATTGAACTGTAATAGTACCAAAAGATATATTGTTCGTTATTGTTAACGATTATTTAAGTCAGAGAACTCGAACAACTATTTGATGTTTAATGTTGAAGGGAAATTTTGTTGGAGTGCCCTGCCATGATTTTGCGTTTACATTTTTTTTCAGATTATTGCTCAAGATATGCTGTTGTTATACGCCTTTTGACATTGCATCACTATCGCGAAATGGCTTTCAGTGTGTGGCTAAGTGGAGTGGGTGGGTTTGTTTATGATGATATGACTTGGTATATGGATGCACAATGAACTTTATTCTGCAGCTATCTGGAAGAACAAGGCTTCATACTGGTGTAGGTTGGGTGCCGGAAAGGGTTGTACATTGCCTGTTCTCTTATGGGAGGCTGGTCAATGCATGTTTGGTGCATGTAAATGAACTGCTCTACCATAGCTTTTAGTAGATAACCCCGATTTTGGTTTAGTGGTACATGCCAGCAAGGGATGATCATACTTGTTCAATTTCTCTCTCTTAACTTGGATCCCATAAGATGGGCTTTGGAAAGTTCTAATAGGAGGAATTCGCGGATCTTCCAGAGTATAGCATGCAGGCTTTTAACCAAAATACATTACCTATAATGGAAGTAAACATATTAGTAATAAAACCTTCTTCAAAAAGGTATAAAGGGCTTTGAACCTAAATACGTTACCTACGGGCGTAAAGCACGAAAGGCTTTGAACGTAAATACATATCCTAAAATGGAAATAAACATGTAAATGCATTACCTAAAATGGAAGTAAACATGTTAGTAATAAAACCTTCTTCAAAATGGTCTAAAGGGTAAGATGTATAATAGATATTGATTTGCTTATCCAAGAACGGCTCAATATGGTAGCATCGCACTTTGCAACAATCAAGGCTAGTGAGTCCATTGATCCACAGAGTTGTCCGATTCAAAAGCTATGGAATGCTCCCAAGATATTAATATCTTTGGTTTCATATTCAGGATATAATAAGTCATTTTGTACTCTTTTAACACTCGCTTTGAATCCAACACTTCCTTTACTCTCTGTTTGTAGTGATATAAACCCCTTCCTGTAACTCATGAATTAAGAATTTTGACAAGAAGTCTCAACTAATACTAATATTATTAACTGATAAGAATGTTTGATTATTATACCATGATACTCTTTCATATATATAGTACAACTCAATTTTTTTAACCTTTTCATAATCGAAATATCTAACCTAGCTAATAAGAATTTCCTCTTGACAATGATATATGTTGTATGCATAAATCGTAGATGGGAACATATAGGGAATTCGTCTATGAAAGGGTATAGAAAATGAAAAAAAATTATATTTATAGGCTAGGTGTAAGCGTAAATCGATATGCTGAAATAAACGATATGAAGAACCAATGATATATAAATAATGAATCCTAATGTAAATAGAGTTGAGGATCGGATTCCATAGAATATTTTCTATAATATAGATGAGATTGTCTATCATTATAGACAAATGAAAAACTTTCTCAAAATTCTTATTCATCCGTTTGAAATCTTCAAACTAGCTTATTGAACTTGAAAATTTCAAGTAAATGAATAAGTAAACAATTGAATTGGATTCGATTGAATGGTAACAATGAAATCGAGTGCAAACTCCCAAAATAATTATCCAGTCCCAGTACTTGAATAAGCAGCAGTTGTTAAAATAATTGATCTCTATGCTATCGGACCTTTATTTTAAATTCAATAATTTTCACCCAAAAAAAAATTATTTTGAGAATTAATCCTAGTACTTTAGGTTTTGGGGTTTCCATGCTTGAAAGAAAACCTTGGGATATATCGTCCAAATCACCGGTCCAATACTAGATGTAGCCTTTTCGCTGGGTAAGATGCCTAATAATTATAATGCTATGGTGGCTAAAGGTCGAGACACTGTTGGTCAAACAATTAATGTCATTTGTGAGGTACAACAATTATTAGGAAATAATTGAGTTATAATTGTAGCTATGAGTGCTACAAATGATCTGATTAGAGGAATGTAAGTGATTGACACATGAGCTCCTTTCTAAGTTTTTCGATCAATAGAGCGACTTTGGGACGAATTTTTAACGTGCTTGGAGAGCATGTTGATAATTTAGATCCTGTAGATACTCGTACAACGTCGCCTGTCCGTGGATCTGTGCCTGCCTTTCTACAATTAGGTACAAAATTATCTATTTCTAAAACATGAATTAAAGTAGTAGATCTTTTAGTCTTTTATCGCTGTCGAGAAAAAATTAGACTATTTGGAAGAGCTGGAGTTAGTAAAATGGTATTCATTATGGAATTGATTAACAATATTGCCAAAGTCTATGGTAATGTATTAGTATTTGGCCAAGAGGGTAAAAGTACTTCTGAAGAAAGTGATCTTTACATGGAAATGAAAGAATTTGGAGTGATTGATGAAGAAAACATTGTAGAATCAAGAGTGGTTCTAGTTTACAGCCAGATGAATAAATCGTCGGATCTTGTATGAGAGTTGGTTTGATTGCCCTAACTATGGAAGAATATTTTCACAAAATGTACTTCTATTTATTGATAATATCTTCCATCTCGTCCAAGATCCAAAGTGTCAGCTTTATTAGATAGAATGCCTTCCGTTGTTGATCATCAACCTACCTTAAGTACCAAAATGGGTACATTACAAGAAAGAATTACGTCTACCAAAGAAGGGTCCATAACTTCTATTCAATCAGTTTATGTACCTGTAGATGATTTGACCGACCCTACTCTTGCTACGATATTTACACATTTAGATGCTACTATGGTATTACCAGAGAATCAGTTGCCAAGGGGATCTATCTAGCAGTAGATCTTTAGATTTAATGTTAACCATGTTTCAACCCCAGATTGTTGGTGAGGGACATTACGAAACTTTACAACATTACAAAGAGCTCGAGAACATTATAGTTATCCTTGGGTTGGACGAATTATCCGAAGATGATCGTTTAACTGTAGCAAGAGCACGAAAAATTGAGAGTTTCTTATCACAACCTTCTTTTGTAGTAGAAGTATTTACTAGTACTCCAGGGAGATATGTTATTCTAGTAGAGACTATAAGAGGGCTTCAATTGATCCTTTCCGAAGAATTAGATGGTAATTCTGAACCGACCTTTTATTTGGTAGGTAATATTGATGAAACTATCGTGAAGGCTATGAACTTAGAAACGAAGATCAATTTACAAAAATGACTTTAAATCTTTATGTGCTAACCTTTAATCGAATTGTTTGGGATTTAGTAAGTGAAATAAATCATTTTATCTACTAATAGTAGTCAGATTGGAGTATTACCAAATCATATTCCTATTACTACAGCTGAAAACATAGAGATTTTGAGAATAAACTATAACAAGCAATGGCTTTGATGGGTGGTTTTGCTAGAATAGGCAATAATATATCACTATTATATAAATGACGTAGAAAAAGGACAGTGGCATTGATCCACAAGAAGCTTGGCAAACACTTGGATTAGTGGAAGCTAATTTGAGAAAAGCTGAAGGAAAGAGATAAATAAATAATCGAGACAAATCTAGCTCTCCATGAGCGGCAACAAGAGTAGAGGCTATCAACTTGATTTCCTAATTAATTGGTGAATCCAAATAATCAAAAGAAGCTCTGTTTCTAAGCCTATTTTGATAGGATTCTATCGAGTCAATCTAATTGAGCAGAATCTTATTTGCTACAACAAAAATAAAATAAATAAATAAGATATAAAAGCAATAAAAATAAAAGAGGGTGGGTCGAAAACTTGTTAGGTTCCATTGAATTCAGTATCTAATAAGTTCTACCTCCTTTTGGATTTGAACCAATGAGTCTTGCCTTAAGAAAATAATACTCTAACCACTGAGTTATGTAGGTCATTTATGATAACCAAATAAAGCCCATGCCATCTATGGATTAAAAATATCATATTATATATGAATAATACTAATACAAGCAATACCACTCAAATATTGATGATGTAGGATCATAGAATATTCGTCTCAACAAAAAATTATTTACATGATAACATATATATCACAAGCACAAAGGGCTATAGTTCAGTAGGTAGAGCACCTCGTTTACATGCAAGCCAATGTTTTTTCAGGAGGGTTCATCATACAATTAAAAAATGCATCTTATTGAGAAATCGATGTCTTATTCCATAATTGTAGGGGAACAATAACCTTACAAATGGTTCGGTCTAATTTTGGTGGCCATTTAGGTACTAAACAGATCACATACATTGATTTGAGATATTGATAATGTCATTACTAGTCCATTTAATGCTAGGAAAAATGAGTATAAGGTCCTCAAAAAATCTCAAACTTGAAGGTGTATGAAGTTTCATATTTTATTTTTTAAGCCGAACGATAGAGACATAATTTAACTTAAGTTGATCTAGGCTAGAGGCAAACCTACGTCAAGATAATCCCACCTTTGAAACACTTCGGTAGTGCTTTTGAACCAAATAATGATTAAAACATATGGAGCCATCTCCTTAAATATTATGTTGAAAAATATGGTGACTGGCTAATATTTTTATCAATTAATGAAAGAGTCCAAGGCCAAAAAAAAAAAAGAAAGAAAGAAAATAAAAATGCATGTTGGGCCTTTGAAACTGAACATATCAATGCATAGGAACCTGTGATGAATGTGTCTAAGTGAACTTGTGCATTAAGAACCAAGCAATTATAAGAATAACCAGTGATTCGTTTTATACTTATACGTTGCACAATAGCTCAAGTTCTAACATCTAAAACATTTGACTGACATTCCCACAAATCATCAGCAACCTAATTCAGCCCCTGTTTTGAGGCCATTATTTGATAAAAATAATATTTTGAATAGTGGATTTTTGGAGAATGTGTAGTTAAAAATGAGTGTGTAAAAAAAAGAGTTTTGAAGTAATGATCGTCAAACAAGGGCTCATTTCATTATTCAAAATCCGTTAGAATTTTATACTGATATTTTTTTTGAAAGCCAACGACCTCATTGGACAAATAAATGAATACAATCAGTCTAATCATTCGCAAAACATGTATTGTTAATGAAGCAAGGTTGCGGCTAACTATGTTTCTAGTACGACAAACAAAACCATGAACCACAACCAATAATCACGAAGTAAAGTTATAAAAGGCAAGCTTGCTTGGGAGTATTGGGATATCAATTATGAGCATTTTTTAAAGTATCGATTTTGAGCGTTTATGGAGTGTCTGATTTTGAGTGATTTTAGTAGTAATTTTTAAAATAATCCAACCCATACTTTGGAGTTTATTATCCACTGGTTTCTGAAAACTTTTTGAAAGAAAAAATTACATATATGTTCCTTAGTAAAATTATTAGTTTATAGACTCTTGTATGAAGTTCTTGTTTGCTTATAAGTGATGTTTTACTTACAGATAATTTTGTTTACATGTAAGTTAATTGTTAATATTTAACTTAAAAAGTTAAATAAATTTAAATATTTACTTAAATTTTTTACTTATAAAGTA